ATAATTTACATGAACTGGGATATTCATGAATACTACAGAATACTACAATAATTTGGAATTATTATAATAACCAGAGTCACACGGAGCTCAGCGGTGTGATGTAACTCTGCTAGGTACTGATATATTTGGTGTCGGTGTATTATGTCAAATAATAATTACAATATAATATTAATGATAGAACACAACTCGCGGACAAATTGTATTGAAACTGAATCCTACGCCCTACGTATAAGATTGTATTTGGGACGGTATTGAGTTGACACAGATGCAATATTACAAATGTCTAATAACGTAGTGATTGATGTCCGCTAGAGATCCGATCGTATCGCCTGTCAACGCACCATTTGTTACACGCTGACATACATCACGCAGGCAACTCTCAGTAGGACCACTTCGTACCACACAAATATCATCGTAAAAAGTGCTAATACAGCACTATGTATAGTCATGTCATGTCGTTGTTTTTACCTGATGCTGTCACATTTTTTCTGGATTACCTGTGGCCATTGGTAATAAAATGTCACGAGATCCTAGTAAATTAAGTTGCTTGAGAGGTCCGGAATAAGCGAAAATTAGCCCAGATTTGAATAAAATTCAGTATTTCCTTTTGACGTCAAGAGCGCTGTCATCTATGATAGTATTACACTCGAGGGTAGTATCATTATTCAGTTATGTTTCACTTTTTGATATACACATGTCATAAGTTTATATGACAACCAACAGCAACAACTTTTTTTCATGAGATAAGTCAGTAAACGAGCCGACGGATAACCTGATGGTAAGCAATCGGCGCCGCCCATGGTCACTTGAAGGTTACAAGTGCGTTACCAGCCTTTTGGGGACTGGGGAGGGGGGTAGTTGGGCCTCCAGTAATCTTACTCATATGACGAAACACAACGGAAGCGTTATTTCACGTGCGATTTCTGCTTGGCCGTGGTATCGCTCCGGTAGAGCCGGCCCATTCGTGTCGAAGCATGGCTCTCCCATACTTAAAACTACACAATACACATGCTTGGAAAAATTGTTGAAACTGTAAAATATTTCAACATTTCTACTAAATTAACTAATATATAATGTATACCAATATCCGTGAGACTCAAGTTCTAACACTCGATAAATAAGTAACAGATAAATTACGTGCAGTAACAATTACAGCGGGAGCACGGTAGGTATTGTATTAATATGAATAATTGTGATTTATGTGTCTGCCGGTAATGTTATGTATCTGTGAGCTACTGCCGCTGTGTCTGGCGCGGCCTTGACCAGACACACCTCACCTGTCAGTGCTCGTGTCACTATGACAAATGTACCACTGTTCGCTACTGCGCATTTGTGGTAAATTTTGGTCTATTTCTGAAGTAGACTTTAGGACAGCCAGGTGTCCTGTGCTTGCAATCAGTCAAAATATATACTTAAGAGTACAAGACTACAAGACTACTCTACATTGATTAGTACTAAATATAAGCTTTAATCAATAAAGTAAACAAAATTGCCTCTGTCTCAGACTGCCTCATTGGCCGAGTGGTCGCAAGTGCGACTGCAAGGGGTCTTGGGTTCGATTCACGGGTCGGGCAAATTATTACTGGGGTTTTTCAAGAAATTCAGTTGTAGTACGGAGTCTGGAATTGAGCCCGGTATATAGCAATGGGCTCACCTCCTATTACATGGGACTCATAACATAAATAGGGAAAAGTGGGTGTTATTTGTACAGTGGCATTAAGTGCCGTAATGTGCACCTCTACGTACCCCTTCGGGGATTAAAGGCGTGATGTTATGTTATGTAAATAAAATTAAAAGTAATTCACAATTCTTTATAGAATCTTACAATAGAATACGAAACTTTAGCTAGTGATGTATTGTCGCACATGTCGCATCTTGTGAGATACATATGTGTCGGTCGGAAGTATCGGGTGTGAGTGCACGACCGCAACGGTAATATCTCTTGTATACAGAATGTGTCCACTGCACGCTACTGTATATAAACGATGTTGTAATCAAAGACAATGTCTATATGTAGGTTAGGAATCTACCACGCCTTTTATTCCTGAAGGGGTAGGTAGAGGTGCACATTATGCTACTGTACAATGTAACACCCACTTTTCACTATTTATGTTATGAGTCCCATGTAATAGGGGGTGAGCCTATTGCCATATATTGGGCACAATTCCAGACTTTGTGCTACTACTGAGATTTTTTTTAAAACCAGTTTGAATTCCTGTAATTGCATCTATTTCAAACATTTCAGTACTTTTTTATGGTTTTTTTTACTGGCCAGTAGGCTGCGCGACATCGCCGCGACCGCGCACGCTGCTCATGAGGAAGAACCCCTCTGTGGTTCGAAACTAGTAGAGCTTTTCTCAGTATATTCACGAGAGTAACCCGCGATTTTTAGTTAATTTAGCATAACAATATATACATAAACGGTTTTAATTCTGTTATTACCCTATTACATGGGACTCATAACATAAATAGTGAAAAGTGGGTGTTACATTGTACAGTGGCATAATGTACACCTCTGCCTACCCCTTCGGGGATAAAAGGCGTGATGTTATGTTTAATTCTGTCTAAAACTCGGCCATCAGTTCCCAATATTCGTCTATATCGCATGGTACCGTATAGAGGTATAACGCGTTCAGAGACGCTCCACATACATTGTACACTACATTCGAACATTGGCCACAGTGATGCGTAGAATGCAGAAGGTCAAGTGACTTTACAAATTGATAGTTAATTTCTCAGATTACACATATTCTGCTGGGTTGACGTGACCCGCTGCGCTGTATCTATGTATGACGATATTCAAGTGGACATTCTTCTATAAACCAAAGTTATTGCAAAACTGACCACTCTGCGAGGTTTCTAGACAAAGAAGACATTTTTTTTATGGCATAAGCCGGTAAACAAGCATACGGATCACCTGATGGTAAGCAATCGGCGTAGCCCATGGACACTCGGAACACCAGAGGCGTTACAAGTGTCTTACCGGCCTTTTGGGGATTAGGAGTTTGAGGATCGTTGGGGATTCAGGGATTAGGAAGATTGGGGGTAGGGGAGGGTAATTGGGCCTCCGGTAACCTCAATCACACGACGAAACACAACGGAAGCGTTGCTTCACTTCGGTTTTCTATGAGGCCGTGGTATCACTCCGGTCCAGCCGGTCCATTCGTGCCGAAGCATGGCTCTCCCACACTTAATTAAATTTGTCAAGTAACTAGTAGGTACTGCTGTGGTGCGATTTCAAGACAGAGTACCCAATGATTATGAGCAAGTAGATCATTGCAGGGTGTGAGTCTTCTGCAGATATTCTACGGTGTGTACCCAGTGTGTGACATAGTATGTGTAATGTCAATCAATACTTAGGTAATATTGCGGCGTGTTAGTTGCGTGTGTGTCAGCAGTGCAGTGATTCCTCTGACCCATATCCACGTTACATTAGTTTATTGCGTTCCATGAATCAGTCGAACTTATTACTCGATTACTGCACTTCTTGGAAACTAGACTTTGTGCTTCAAGTGTGGCTAACGGCTTCAGTAAAACAATCTTTCGTCGGACAAGCTATTGAACCAAATGAGACCAGTACTACTACTTACATTTAGTAACTAATACAAAACAAAGTAGGTAATCATTTTAACGTTTTTAAACATTTTCGACTAAACTTTAACAAGTTTAGTTTGATTTCGGGATCAAATGAATTTATCGGGTACACAGATATTGATGAAAAGGGGCTTTTTTTAAGGGGGGAAAATCATCTAATGACTTCTCCCGGCTTGGAAGAGGCGAGAGGGAGTGTCATACTCTTACTAACTGAAAACTACCCCGTTTCTACTCCTGCACTTCAAGCCGGAGCGCCGGCAACCCATTAAGTCGTCCGCGGCTCCGTATCGACATCATTAGCCTTTTTAGACCCCATCCGTGGTGGTCTGATGGCAGATGGAGGCGCGCGCGGAACGCTCGGCGCCTTACATTCGGGTCAGAGCGGCGAGTTACCCATGCTCGCCGTCCGCAGGCCCGTGCTTACAGTGACCGGAGATCGTTGATGAAAAGGGCTGTAAACCCTATAACAGTTGGAATGAAAGGGCTGTAAAAGACGATTAATGATAATTAAGACTGATATTTACATTGGCAATAAAATAGTTACATCATAGTTATATCCTTCCGAGGATGCATTTTTAACGCGTTGCGCAATGGCAGGCGCCGCGCTAAGTGATGCGCAAACCTCGCTCACGACATTACACGACATTGAAACATTATTACATGTGCACTGAACTACTGTAGATGTGGGATTGTGTCTCTGGAAGAAAACTCCATCACACCACTCCATAGAGCTGTGAAAACTGAGTGAATTCACAATTGATAAGATTCGTGGAGAGAGGAGTCTCATGTCGGAATATTCAAACGCTACTCAATTTTAAGTCGTGCTTAAGTATAGTTCTGTCTCTACAAATTCTTTGTAAAATGACAGAGACGGCACGATATTACAATACGACTTAAAATTGAGTAACGTTTCAGTATTCCGGCATCAGACTAGCACCGAATAACTGAGAGCTGCTACTCAGAAACTATTTAAAACACAATTTTCAAAAACTATGAGATATGCAAGAAATGATACACGAACAATGACCAAAGTAAATTCTAAGAATTTGTGATATTCCACGAAACAAATTTAAATTCCGTCATAAGCCAAAACAGTATAATGTTTAAATAACTGAATTGTAGGAACTCCAGCAGACTTCCTCATTGTAATAGATGATATATTATGTTCCCCATTATAATACTCCACACATTCAGTAATGATGGATTGTCTGTCGTTTCGTTGACCCGATACATTGTACAGACAACAGCACGTCAAGTTGCACCTAACTGATTAATACATTTTCAACCTTTTCATTTTGCAATATAGTCGAAAATATGTAGTCCACGTGCTCCTACGATGTATAGTGTACACCTAATTACCTACTTACCTATTCAACATTAACATTTAATATTTTTATTTGTTCCAGATAAAATTACGAAACCGGACGTTGACTACACACTGAGCAAAATTTATGAATCAAAACAATGTGGACCTAAAACGAAAATATTACTCAAAAATAACAATGTGCCATCAACTGTGAAACCCAGTGGTCATAAACAACGCGCGGCTGGACAAAGGAGTGACAGTGAAAATGTGTTTAAAAAGATAAAAATGGCAAAAATAATTAGGATGTGAAACATGTTGGAATGCGTGCGCGGCGCGAGCACAGTGGTACGCGCGCCGGCCGCTCGTGGACACAGCCCGCCGCCACGCGCCCTCCTGCTACTGCTCGCCTTGCTGCATTGTGCCAGGTAAACTAGCTGTCATTACAGGTATTTCTTTATACCTACAATACATGTAAATACTTGTCATCAACAGCCCATAAAAGTGTATCAGTAGTGAACTGATTATACGCTTGCCCAGTAAGTTGAAGTAGACGATGAGCAGGGTGCTGCCCTGACCTGTCTCCATTAAATATGTAGTCCATTAGTTGAGTCTTAGGACACCTGTGGGACAAGCCCGCGTGGTGAAAAATGTACCACTAAACGGCACTCTGCCAGTACACGGCTTAAATTACTGAAATTGCGTTTTATGACTACTTAAATTTTATGCAAAAAAAAATTACGTCATGTTAAAACTATTTACATTTCAAGGTTTCAATGCGACGTAAACATTACCAACTACTTCAACGTTGAATGAACTTTAAAATTATTGGAATTAAAGTTCAAAGACTTCAAAATATCAGTGATAGTGAAATTTCAGAACGAATAAATATCTCTAGTTTCCTTATACTCCTAAAACTTTAGTATATCTTATTTATGATATGACACACACACAGTCCAATATTCTCAATAGTATTGCAGCAAAGAGGAAATGCCTGGCACGCCACACGCGGTCTCCAGGTCGCTCGTTAAACGCGCGCTGTATTTCTAGCGCCAGTATTTACTACTGGAACATATCGACTGGAACACAACGACTGCACATTCGGTACACTTATAGAATTACCGAAATTGTCGGCACGCACACAAGTGCACGTAAATGGCAGTGTGTCACCACACGCGGCCGGTGAGATGCTCGGCCGAACGTTCACATCACCATATACGCAGCGAAACTAAAATTAAACGCTGTTTAGGTCAGCAATTATGCATCGAATAGAGCAGTTTATGGTCACTATTAAATACAATTAATGACCAAATATACAGAGATTATACAAATAACGGCACACGTATTAATTGCAGATTTTTCCCTCGAGAACGAGTCGGACCGGTTCATAAAAACGAATAAAATTTGATGTCATCCATTGGAACGGTTCCTTGTACGCAGCGCAGTGTATGTCGCGAACTTGATCGTTTGTGCGCAAGTTATGACACGGCGACACTTAGCGCGCGCGTTATTAGCACCTTCACACGCTGAGACCTCCGCGCGGGGACTTTGTGAAACATGCTCGGTATTCGTTTTAAAGTCGTTGGCGCACCCAACTTTTGGTTTCTTATTTTTGCAGAAAATACTTACATAATAATATGTCCATACCACAAAGGTCCATACCTTCAACCTTTGGCCTTTCAATCGTCTGGAAAAATAATTGAAAAAGACAACAACCAAACCTAACAGCGGTAGAAAATCATCAACAAATATTATCCTTTCTTACTCGAACGCAACAAAACAGCTGGCAGTTTGTACTGGAACTGGTCGCCATGTAATTGAGCAGAACCAAATTATGAAAATAAACATATTGATCATTCAAATCGTATGCTAATGTATGCGGGCACTTATCAAAGTTATCAAAACAGTAGTTACAGCAAATTGCCTCTAATCTCACAATAACTGCCTCGCTGACAGTAATCACGCTACCGCACACCATCGTTCATCGAGACACGGGATACATAAACCCCGAATTACTTGAACCATACATCAAATTGCTAATAAGCCATCGACAACAGATTGATCGAAAAAATACAATAAAAGACCTCAACAAAGGGAGCAACAATACAGGCAGTACCCCATCATTACAGATAATAAATCCGCAAACCGTGGACCGAACCAATTTCAACTTCACAAAACTTACAAAAAACAAACATTATCAAATCTTTGTGGACGTCAAACCAATTAAGTCGGAATATTGACGTGAATAGTTATGTGTTTGTCAACATACAAGTTTTTTAACAATGTTAACGTGAACGTGTGCGTTGGGCCAAAATTGTGGGTTGTAGACTCAAGAGCCGGGAGCGGCCAATTATGATGTTTTTGTTGTCGGTAATGGGAGCTTGTTAAAAGTTTTTCGTGCGAGTACCTGCGCGCCGCCGGTGGGTAACATGCCGGGGCCCTGCCATAACGTGTGCTACTCACGTATGATTTTCATATTTTAATGCAAATTATGCAATGTCTACCACATTTTTACCTGCTGCTTCTAATCACATAGAACGATATTAATCTTGATGTCGTCAGTTCTGCATCTCAATAAAGTTGCAATCATGCATGAACAGACTCGCCCAGCCATTATGTTAAACAGCTATCAATCTCAGACATTTGCGTTTTATGAGCTATTGCAAGATGCCCGCGTCCGTCCAATTTGTAGTATGCAGAGCTCGGAGAACTTAACAGCTCAACAAAAGATCATTCTTGTGATGTAACTCGACGCTGATGGCGAAACCCATCATTACTGCCAATCCTTTTAACAAACTACATAAGGGCAGAATGAACTCACCTCTAACTTCCGCAATTATTGAAACTAGACCTTACACCGTTGTACTAAATCTTAAAATTCATTGTTACTAGACGTGATTATGACAGTCAATCATTTCCGATATCGAATTTAATAGCCCCGCCCCGTCGCCCACGAGTCCGTATACGCCTTTTCATTTAACGGTCGAGTTAACGTTCAGTTGTGTAGGTTTCGGCCGGGGCGGGCTAACGCAAACATACCGTGTCGACCAAGAACCACTCACAACTGCATCATAAAAGAAATATCGCAAAGGTCAAATGTATAAAATGGTAACAAACAATATACAGAACGATATTAAGCAGCGAGACTTTGGAGGATTTCTCAGGAGTCAACAAACATCGATCAGTTTCTTTATGTAGTGGTGCGTGGATGTGTTACACAATGTTGTTAGCGCGTCGCGTACAACAAAGCTCTCACCATAATTGACTTTTTACAACGGCTACCAGTAAACTAACTGTATCGGTTTGAAATGAACTGATGGCGCCGAATGATAGCCACTAAACGGTTTCGTATAACAAAGAAACAAATATTTTCTTAACATTGTGTAATGATCGTTAATTTTTATTGGTCGGAATACCTAGAACCTAAAACTATGGATCCATTCACAAAAAACAATTCTATTAGCAAAACGTTAATCTTGAACCTTAGCAGGATAAAACAAAAATAAATCTCAGCCATTTTCTATGAACAACAAAAACAAGGCGAGTGGTCAAATCGCGAGATAACGATGCTATTAGTGGACAGCGGACATCTATAAATCTGTGCGTCCCTTCCGAGAACACGACACGGTCGCCTGCAATAGCCTTCGATTTTAACAAATTGCTAAGTGGGCTATAAATTATCGGCAAATCATTTTGTCTACAGTTTTATGAATTTGTACCACTGTGCAGTGCTGGTATTTTAATTAGCAGAATGTATGTGTTTTGTGAGAGTGTGTGTGTGTGTCATCAATGGTAGTCAGTAGTTACTTAGTTGTCTTGTCTATGAAAATTGGTTGCCTTTACGATATAATTAATATTATAATATATAATTTATAAGATATAATTAATATTAATACTATATTTTATCGTCAGTTACCAGTAATAACATTATCTTTGGATTACTTAACAAAGTACCAAATTATAAGTTATACTTATAACATGGCATGGCCGAGTATTACCCAGGTTTTAGTAGAAGCCTCGTCCCTCGTTTTACATTGGGACTATAATTTAACTAACAATAAAAAACTTAAACACCGCCTATAAAAGTTTAACGCTTTCTCAGTTAAATAGGATCAATTGAGAACATAACATATATCCCTGCAGTAGTGTGACATAATACACACACATTATAATGTACCTCAATAATCTGTCTGATCCTGTGTCGGTGCCGAAGTGGCAAGTGTTCCCGAGGCGACGACGCTCGCTACAATCAAATTAAGTGTTAATAGTCGACGAGCCTCCATGCGTAGGGTCACGTCACACTGCAAGCTATCACAATGCTATGGATTTCAAGAATGGAAAATATATACTTACCATTTTTTGAGGGAGAAGCATCATCCAATGACTTCTGCCGCTTTGGATGAAGTGAGAGTGTCAGTCTCTTACTAAGTAGAAACCACCCCGTTCTTACTCTTGCTTTGAGTCGGAGCTCCGGCAACCCGTTAGGCCGTCCGCAGTTCCAGGTGAAAATTTATAATAAGCCTTCGTAGTAAACGTAGTAAATAAATACTGCATTCCTCAAAGGACTTACCTCATTTAGCCCAGTAGTTGAACAATGTGTAGTCGGCAATAAATTATTAATATTTTAAAATTTTTAAAATTGTTGGTAATTATTAAGTTCCTTCTTGGTACATTGTGCTGTGCGCTGTTACCCGATACTAAGGGGGCGAACAATAGTGTCACATATTATGTAACACGCACTTTACAAATAACTGAAATTATAGGCTCACGTGAGATATGCTCAACTCGTTTCCAAGTTGCAACGGGATTCTTATTCATGATGCACTTTACGTTGATTGTGTTGTCTCTGTAATTTAGGATAAATACGCGATGTTATGTAATTTAGGAACAAACAATATGTTATTGAGAGACGTTGTTATATTAACATATTATTTTAATAATAAAATAATTCATTTGAGTGTGTATTGTTGTGGTTTTTGTGTTAAAATCACATTGGAAAATGATGAGTTATTGTTTAGTAGGAAGTATTTGTGCCCACGTGTAGTGACACATTGCTCTATTGTCTTCGTGTATAATTAATTTATGACTCTGTTTTTCATTATTTAGAATATCTTTGCCTATGTCTAAGTAGGAGATAAATAAATATTAAATACGGTACGGGACCTAATACAAATGAAAACATAATGTTTAACTTTTAAATCATCGTTCAAGTATATACCGTTACAATCAGTCTCGAAATCGCACCTACATGGAAGGTACGTTGTAGATAAAATCAGCAGTCTCCACTAGACAAATTCATTTTAACTGAGAACTTAAATTATTTACCATTACAATTTCAGCAATTAGTTGCAAGCAACTCGTCGTGGTGACTCGGAGGTTCAACACACCCGCTTCTCATTTACGTGAGACGGGTTCGAAACCTACCAAC